ACGTAATATAAAAATTGTAATTCTTTATCATCACTCACCGCTGATTGCAATTGTTCCCTGATGTTAGTAGCCGGAGTCGACGGTTCTATTCCTCTGGCTTTCAATAACGCTGCCAATAAAGCAGCATCGTTGATTTCAGGTGCCGGAGGAGCTGTAGTTGTCGGAGCTCGTCCGCTTAAGATCGCCCTAAAAAAGTTTTCGTCGTGCTGCGTTAATTCCGAAGTCTTCTTCGAGCCATCCTTACTCTCTGTAACAAAAAAGTACAATTTTTCACATAAAGAAACTTATCATTTCGAAATGTAAAATTGTTTCAGTAATCATGGAATAAAAAAGTTTTGTGTTTTGTTGTAGACAACTTTTTAATGTTTCTACAATTTGCTATATGAAAATGATACGAAGCACAAATTAAACGATGCATAAAAAAACGAAATTTGGTTTTTCTGATATAGCTTATAATTTGTATAAAAATCGACAACCTATAATGAAATTTTATTACTTGTAAGCTTACACTTACCTTGTTGAACAGCACGTAGGAGTTCGATCAAGAACTTGGCATCATCTTCGGGGGAATAAGTAGAGGTCACAACATTAGGCAACCTCGGATTTGCGTTATTCAACAGCAATTGCTTGGTAGTCGATATCGAACTCGGCGTAGTCACAGATTTCTCATTATTCGAGATAGAATTTGGCGTGCTGACATAAATTTTCGATACATCTACAAGCTTCAGAGTCGTAGTAGACGGCGTCGTGGTGGTCGTGGTGGTCGTGGTCGTTGTGGTCGACGTCGTCGTCTTTTGCGTAGTAGGAATCGGTTTTGGTGTAATGTCCACTGATTTCTGAGTGGTCTTCACTGGCTTGGTTTTAATGGGCCTCGGAGTCGTGGATGGTCCAAACAAACCTCCACCAAGTAGCGTATTCCATAAAAGACCAGCGAAACTTAATGGAGGTTGGGTGGTGGTTCTGGGTCGTGGAGTAGTTGTTACTGGTTTGCTTGCCACGGTCACTGGGCTTTTGGTAGTGCTTATCAAAGTCGTTTTAGGTAAAGTCGATGCAGTAACTGTGCTGACTTCTAAACCCCTTTTACTAGTCGTGGTTGTAACTGGTTTCCAAGTCACTTGTGGCTTTTGACTAGCCGGCTGCTGTGACTCTGTTGGCTTCCGAGTAGGTGTTGAGGCAGTAGACGATGGAGATAAATCGATCACTAAAGGAGTCGAGGGAGACTTCGTCGCAGATTGGAAAACTGAATTCGCAGATGGGTTTTCGATGTTTATAGCCTTTGGAGCCCGAGTTGGCCCAGGGTTTTCGAGTGCCAATGATAAAATCTAGAAAATAAAGTATCGATTTAGAAATCAAAATTGAATGTTACGTAACTCAGTACACGTGTTCAGATAAAAATGCAAGAAAGAAGTTTTATTTGAAGGGCAAGAAAAATAGAATTTATGCAGCTTCTAGTTCAATCGCATTCGAATACTGTTTGGTGCATGATTATGCGAAGGAGTGAAAGGATTCTATGACGTACGAATCGTGGACTCGTTTATCCACTTTTACGGATCGAAGGATAATTGCAAATCTAGTTTTCCGATAGGAATTAAATTATATTGCGAATACCGTTTTCTTCGTAATCTAAGATATTATTATTGTTTTAGATGAGTCATGAAGAGAAACGATTTCAAGTTACTCATTGATTTTATTAAAAAAAAGTCTCATACGAATGAACATGAAAAATAGATTGAATGTTGCAATGCATATTTAGGCTTACCCTATTTGCCAAGAGCTGTTCCACTTGCGTGAGTGTTTTCTGCGTGGTACTCCGTGTATTACCTTGTAACTGTGCATAAAAAACATACAGTTACATATTTTAAATCTGAAGAGATCATGCAGCAAAATTAATATACTTTATAATTAGGTACGAAGTTCTTTGCTACGAGATTAAAATATTATATTATCAAATGGAATATTTAAATCGAAACCAATACCAGTGAATTCAGGAAGACCAGGTCGTCGAATGTGCTACCAAAAGCATTCTGTTGCTGTGCATTCAACAAATTGTTCGGTATGTTCAACGGAGTTGTTCGAGGAATAGAAGCTGTGGTTGATGGAAAAGACGGAGTTGTTTGCGTGACAAAATTCGCTGTTTGGCCAGTTATAGATGTTGGAGCCATCGTAGTTGTGGTGGTCGTCGGGGCCATCGTAGTTGTAGTCGTCGTCGTCGTCGTCGGAGCCATCGTAGTTGTAGTCGTCGTCGTCGTCGTAGGAGCCATCGTAGTCGTGGTGGTTGTTGTCGTTGTTTGAGTAGTAGACGTTGTTGGTGCCATCGTGGTAGTAGATGTGGAAGTGGACGTTGATGCAATAGGTGTAGTTGATGATGATGGAGGAATGGAACCTATATTTGCCCTTGGAACATCGAGAGAGCTGGAAAATGGCGTGAAAACTTCGACGAACGGGTTGATCGGCCGTGGCACGGATTGTCCACTCAGATCAGAGGAATCATCCTGAGAATTGACATCAATTACTTAATTCATTTAATAATTCATTACTATTAGATTCAATGACTATTGAATACGAACCAGAGTATTCGCTGCCACCGAAGCCGTGATTATCGACGATGGAGTAGTGATGCCAAAGATTTGATCCAATGGATCTCTCCATGGGAAACCAGGAGGGGCTGTGATTTGACCTCCGGACTGGCCGTTCAAAAGATTTTCAAATGACGGAACGGATGGCGATGGACCCTCGCTCGCTCCACTCTAAATAAAAAATAGACTGCTAATTAGTAATTGAATAATAATAAAATATACAACAAATATTTAAATTATAAAATGTATAAATTATAAAATATATTAATTAATAATAATTATACATTAATAATAACGATAGATGAGAAGTGAATTAATTTTTCGTAAATTAATAAAAATTGTCATCTAAAGCAACTTATCACAGTATTAGATTTTTATTATATGAATTTCGTATTGAATAATAATTGTATTTAGTAAATGAATTCAAACTTTGAATGGTGCGCCCAGTTTTAATGAAATTTGAAGAATAGCAAACTTAGTATTCGAAAGATGTCAAGCATATAAAATAATGTGCAGCATTTTCTTGTATCTATTCGGAGTTTACTGACGAAGTCTTGCTATTTAAAACTAGGACACTCCGCCTATATGTTGAAACTTACAAATCAATGAGATGAAATGCATTCGGACTTTTATGGATCAACCGGTCATTTAAACTTACAGCTACTGAATTAATATTGACGCTGAGCGCACGTGGGGTGGAGGAAGCTCCGCCGGTCCAATAATTGACGAACTTGTCCTGAAACATTCGACGTTACCCTTTCTTTTTCTTCGTCCCTTTGCTTCCCCTTTCGACGAGAGCGTACATACGCATACGTAGTCGCGGCGAAAGAATCAGCAGCGGCATCGTTGTAAATCATGTCCCGTCTCTCTGTTGCTTTCTTACCTGTCCGATGTACACGGAGCTGCGTTGACCTCCGGCCTCCTTCGTCCTGGTGGCCTCGTCCCTCTCCCGATCCTCGACGATACGACCGCCCTGCAAAGCGGTCGACGGTCGACCGGTACTTACTGTCCCCGTTTGCGCACTCGGCTGGCCATTACTCTAAACAATGCGAAATTTTTACGGGTCCCATAAACGTCTCCACACAGAGTTACACGTCAATAACGATACGTGAACTTTATACGGAAAGATCAATCGATTGTTCACAAGTACTTGCAGGAATTTATAATACATGATTGAACGTTATGTTAAGAACCATAAAACTTTCAAGATTATTTGTCAGAGTTCCCTATCATTTATTTTGTCGAATTTATTGATATAGCAAAGTATGAGGAAAATAGACAATCGATTAATATTTCAACATGATCATTAGAC